TCCTTCCTCCCTGGCAACCAAGCAAACTCTGATGGGTAACTAGCAAACCCCTTCTTTTTCCATTGTCTCCCATCTCCCTCACTCCCCATCATGCCTCCTGCCCCAAATCACCTGGCATCCTTCTCATCTCCCATGGACAATATGAAGACCTGTTGGTGCAGCTTGGCTTGCTGAAGCACTCACCACACTGGTTCTGCAGTTCTGCTGTTTAATCCCATGCTTTTTCCATTGCTGACAAGTATTTTCTGCAGGAAGCATGTGACATCTTGCAGAGAGACCACGTGATTGCACCTTGCCTTCAGCTCCATCCCCCTGCTTCTTTGTGTGTTTGGAGCGGGTCTTGCCTTCTCTGTTCAAATCTGACAGCATTTTTCAGAGGCAAATCCCATCGGGGCTGGCACAAGAGGACAGCACAGCAGTTCAGCCACCCTCCAGGGCGTCCTGGTCCAAGGGTGCAGCTGTTTGTTGCTTCATCACTGACTTTCAAGGTGGCTGGTTGTCTTCTGCCCATGGCTTTACATTACCATCACCTGGGCGTGGGAACGCTCTACTCTGCTGCTGCTTTTGAGGTCATCTTAGGGTTTTAAGCTTGATGCCTCTTTTCAGCTTTTTGGTGAATCATGGCATGTTTCTTCAAGGTTCAAGACACCAGCAGCCTTTGGTGGTAATGATATTTCTTGCAGGTCTGGTAATGATGCAAGATGGGAATTGTCCCAAGAGATCTTGTTGTGCTTTTAGTCAAACTTATTTCTCTTGAGGGCTACACTGGGGTAAAGCGTAAGTGTAGAGATGAAAGGGCCATACGTTACTTCAGGCATGGCATATGGCACTTTCACATTTCTTGTAATGTGATATCTTCTTCATATTTCTTGTAACTGCTTCTTCATCTTTTGCATCAGCAGTGCATCTTCACACATTTACATTAGAAAATCCATTGCATGTGCATTTGAGACATTTTCTTCTCTCACATCCCTAGTTTCTTAGTAACATGTTGAAACCTGTTCAGTCTATATGTTCAGATGATGCCAAAAAGAATACTTTGTTTTGGTTGTGTTCTTGTTTTTTTTTTCCAGCTTCACTGGACTCTAATCATATTACTTTCCTGTCCCAAACATCTGCATCTGCAGAAATATCAAAAATAGAGACTGGTAAATCATATTTATGATACTTCCATAACTTAGTATTTGGTTTTGCATCAAGGATGTTACAGTTAGAGGCTGTTTGATCTGATTGCTTAGTGTTGTCTGAAGTGGAATTTTGTCTCCAGTGTCTGATAGTTAGACTCTATAACTACATAGTGATATTCTGTGGCATAGGATCAAATAAATAGTAAACCACAGCAATTAATATTGTTTTGTGTTGTTTTAATCTGTTGAATATAAGGACCAATAGCTAAATGGATTAATTATCAGTTATAAAGATATATTCTTGACAGGGATATTTTCCCACAGGGGATTTTCAGTTAGCTGCGTAGTACAGATTATTTTGAAGTTTTGTCTATTTCTAAATATTTCTTTCAAGTTATGTTGTTATTTCACTTTTGAACTTTTCTTACTGGGGTTATAGGTATTCAAGACTAAATTTGTATTCATAGCAAGAGATGAGAAGGAGAATTATCCTAAACCTGGAAGTCAGTATTTCAGCAGTATTGTTTTGGATTTGCTGCCTTACTGTATGGCTCTATCACAATAGTTGTGTTAATTTATATTATGTCAATTAGATAAAATATCACAAATGACAAATTGCATGATATATTAAAATCTGTAACTCAAAATACTGACATCTGCTGTATTGAAACAAGCAAAGCTTTGGCAATAGAAATACCTAGTTTTAGAAATTCATATTTGTTTGTATTTAAAGTATGTAGTTCTCGGTGCAGGTGAAGTCAAAAGCACAGGGTTTTCCTGTTACATGTGCACAGATAGATCAATTGACTCCTGTTGATGCTTGCTTTAGGGGGACTGCAGTTTCTGTCAGGGTATGTCTTTTAGGTGCATGTGACATCTTCAAAACTTTGAGGTTTTGTTCCTCTCTTTTCAAGTTGGAAATCTTGTGAATCTATTGTAGTGGTGTTGGCATCTTGCAAAGCAATGTAAAACAATCTTTCTGATCCCCCCCCCTTTCATATGTCTGCATCATATGAATCTGTCTCAGGGCTATTTACATTTTTCTGCAGCTACAAGTTCAGCTGACCTGGAAAAATCTATGCCTTCACTTTCCAGAACACCTCATGTGTTAACAACAACTACGGGTAACAGTAAAAGCATTAGCTTTTCCACTAAACTCCTTTTGATGTTTTGACAGCAATTTTTGAAATCTTATTAATCCTAAATATTTTGGTCATTTTCCATATTGTCTTCTGCTTGAGTCATGATCATTAATGTAGACAGACAAAGTACTCATTTTTACATGAAAACTTGTCCTTACTGCTGAGAAGCTCACTTCAAAGTGTTTCTGATCTCACATTTGTTTCTCAAAAAGCTACTAGGGCTGCTTTGGGATATACCTACATGAAGTACTCTGGATTTAATACTACTACTAATAATAATAATAATTACTAAATTTTAATAAGAATCTTTAAATGACTTGTTTTTTTCTTACAAGCTTAATTGTTATATACTTAGATAGAACACATTTATATACTATATATTGTTTTGTCAGCATGGGAAGCTTCTTTCTAACTATTTTTTACTGTTCAGTGACTTCTTTTAACTTTATTTTACCCTTGTTTTTCATGTGTGTATATATACATAGATTATATGACATTAAATTTTGTTAACAAAGTACAAAGTACTGACAGAAAATAAAGCACTGAAAAGAATTGAGGCAGTCTTTTTTTCCCTACAGAAATATGTTTGTAGGGCTTTTTAGATTTTGTATATTACATTTTTTTCTGCCTTTTTTGGAGTGTTTTATCTGTATAAACATGGTGTTAGAAGTTCTTTTATCTTCATATTTTCTGGGCTGCTTCAAAATACATAGGCCATGCTGTCTAAAGTAATATGAACTTTAGTTGACTGACAATTTAGTTTTAGCTCTCATTTTAACAACTAGCTTCAGCTCACACTCTAAACCAGCACTGCTCCATTGCTGAAGTAATGCATGTTTATGGTGGGTGGACCTTTGCATTGCAAATTAGGTATAGCCTTTAATATTTTTGTTGTTTTTCTATAAATAAAAAAGCTATGTGTAGAATTAATAATCAGATATTATTGTGATTACTGTTTTTTTATAGCTTTCAGTGGTATTCAGCCTGTTTTTTCAAGCCCTGTGACACCTAGTAAGCCTGAAATACCAGGTCCTGGACCAGGTACAATAATCTCTACCTAGTTCTTAATTCAGTAGCTCAAACCATGCTCTAAAACTGACTGAAATGAGTACACTGATAGCACTTTCAGTGCATGTTTGGATTAGCCCCTAACACCTGAATTTTGAAATTATGTGTTTTCTCACAGTTACAATGCATGTGACAACTCATAATCACGAGTCTCTTTCAGTATTTCGAAAAATAGATAGATAATTGAGAAACAGTATTTGTATGTAGTTATGATGAAAACACTGTGATGTGAGCTGTAGGCTGCATTTTATTGTTAAAATAACAGCATGAAATTGGTTAACAGTTATAGACACTTGATGCTTTTGGACTGAAGCCATGGTTGGATCAGCTGTCAGCTTTCTTCTCCAAATGCTGTATGTTTTAATGCCTGACAAATTGTTTAACTTGTCCTCTTCCATAAATTCCTGCACTTTACACAATATCACTTCCCTTGAGTATTGCACCAAACCCCAAAATGTTCAAGAGCTCTGCTTAAAATCTTACTCAGCAGTGGTTGAGATCCAGAGCAGTTGCAATGAAGGCATGAGGAAATAAACATCCATCAAAAATGTGCCAATTTATAGTGACTGAAGCTCTGTGCAGCTCTGAATTTCTCCCTAATAGATACTTAACTGTCCAAGCATTAGTTAAATATTTGTCGCTCTTGTAAAAACAAACTTGTTTTTGCTTATGAAAGAAGACTTTCTTCCATTAGCTCTTTGCTCTCTTATGACTGTTGTAATTTCTTCCAGCAGCAACAATTGAATCCATTCTGGAATCTTTCACACCTAAAACTTCTCGTCCTTTTCAATGGCCAAGTGTAACATTAGGTAATGTTGTTTTCACCCAGTGAAAAACTCAGTGTTTGTTTTGAGCACTTCATCCCACTTGAATGCATTTCTTCTAGCATATCCTCTCACATGCATAAACATTCTTTTTCCTGGTTAGAGAGTCTTGTCCTTCCATTTTCATTAGACTGATTGTTCTTGACATATCTGTGTATGAGAACATAGTTCTGGATGGTTTTACTGTCGCAGAGAAGTAAAACTTACTTCTTGCATGACAAAACACCATCATCCTCTTATGAGTGTTCTGTCTATCTCTTTTACTCCCAATGCACGCGCATGTGCTGATTGTGTCTGATTGTAAAGCTTTCAAAATGGAAATTTTTATTGTTTTGGAGTCACACAATCTTATTTCTCATCAATGCACAGCATTTCAGTATCATCTCCATTCCACATTTTAAAATCCTTTTTCATCATCTAACTTTGACATTCCATACTAAGTTGTCTTTTCTTCAATATAAACTTGTGACATGTGCTGTTTGTTATGGGAAATGCTTGTTAAACAATTTTTGATTGCAAACTGAGCTCTTTCTTTCAGCTCCAAAAGAAATACCACTTATTCCTTCTAAACTGAAACCATCTGCTACCCCAGAAGTACAGCATGTGAAACCTGGTAATTGCGCGCACCATTTTTATAAGTTGGTATGCAGAGAGATGTGTTCACTAAAAATATCTAAGCAAAACTTCCTAAAAAGGATAGGAGCTATGCAATACATAAGCATCCTGATTAGCTCATCATTCTAAAATTGGTCATTTGATGTTGCCTAACATAAGGAATGAGAGTTAAACTCATCAGTTTTATGCATTTGGGTCCAGTGATAAAAACATAAACAAGTTCTCTAGTGCTGCAACCTTTCTAAAGGACTGGAATGAAAAAATTCTTCTGGGTGGCACAAGGGTGTTTTAATATCCCTTGTATGAGCAATATGTGTTATTATTATTTCTATAATCTCCCTTGCCAATCCCCATCTCCCACAGACATACTATGGCAAAGATGACATCTTGCTAGTCCAAAGAGTTTGTTGATTGAAAGTAAAGTACTGCTCATGTGATCAGTAATCCTTCTGTAGAGAACCCAATCAAAAGCATTGCCATTTTAGTGGAAACAGGAGATCTTTCTCAAAGTAGAAGAAAAACTTTCATATACACACGAAATTTACTCTTTGACTATAGGAACGTTGTCATGGTGTCATGTTTTTTTTTCCTTTTCTGCTTTTTGTTCAAAAAAACAGATATCTACTAATTTTCTTTTTATTTGGCATTAAGAGAAATTATTTTGCCTCCTTTAGTGATTCAGGTGTGGATTATACCAATAAGTATTACGGTGTGGATTACTAGAGCCCTAAAATGTTTCTGTTCTCATGTCTTATAAACAGACAGGTCAGTAAAAAGCAGGAGCTGTCTTTGTTGTCTTATACCTCTCTTACAATTTACTGTAGGTACTCATTTAACAGTTCAGAAGGAATTTGGTATCTAGAAGTTTCCTCTTTCACATAGATTCTCTGGTATTTGTTATAGACCACATTCTTTTCTTCAGTCAAAAACCTCATCCATCCTTTCTCACTGTTCTCCCATAACGTAAATCTATTTGCTAATTGAATAAAACAGCAGATTAGAATGTCCTGAGAACATAAAAATGGGGAAGGAGCCTTAGAAACAGACTCACACTTAGCCACAAGCACACAGTGTGCAATTTCATAGGAAACAAAACTAAAAGCAGTGTAGGGTCTTACGCATAAGAGTAAGGCTTCTCTAGACTTTAAAAAACAACTCCCCTGAACTGTTGGAATTATAACCCTCTTGGCTTGCTGCTGATACATCTACTGATTGGTTCAATTACACTCGATTTTTCTTTTCTAGCTCCTAAACCACCACTTTTGGAGCCTAAAACTTCTCAGACTGTTGAGCAACCAAGAGCAACACTAGGTAATACATGTTTCTGTAGCTGTTGATCATTCTTCTTTGCAGTCCAAGCCACCATCTGTACTCTGCTACTTCATCTCATAGCTTGCACTGTATTTAATCCATTTCTCTGAAAGAGGGAAAAAGTTAGGAGATAAGCATTCAGAATTGTTTTTCTAAGCTCAGGAGAAGAAGAAACCATTTTTTTTCCGCATACATTTTCTCTAGTTCTATGGTACAATAAAATTTTGGCAATCAGAACTGTGTTCCATTTTATTGGGAGTTTTTCCACACCAACACTCTTTACCCTCAGAAAATAATCACAAACCCCTTGGAAATACAATTGAAAAGTCAAGTGCAAGGGTAATATTGTGGGTGCTAATCCTAGAACGCTCAATGAAGGATTCCTGTGGCACTAGGTGAACGTGTTAATTCTACTGTTTTATAAATCCTTCTGAATGTCGTCTTGGCTTGAAAAACACCTCTCAGTCACTTCATGTCTCACTGTAAATGTCAAACACTTTTCCACTGGGTCTACTGCTATGAAGCAGTCTCAGATTCCTGCTTTTTAAAGATGAACAAAATTGCTGCCTATACTGCCCAAAACTGACCTTAAAGTTCATCTGAGGTCAGACAAATAGTCAGATTAGCGAATTATAGTTCCAGCCCATGCATGTTTAGGAGGAAAAAGGTTTCTAGGACTAATTTTTACCATTTACACAATGCTACTTCTATTCTATTAACAGAATTCAATGACTACAGTTATGAAGCAATTCCGTTTTTTATTATTGATTCCATGTTCTTCCAGCTGCCTGCCAGTAATTTCTTTATAGTGCTGAAAATTGAGGACATTTTGGCGTATTTTGTCTATTTATGTCTTCTGATCGCTTTAAATTGACCTGGAATACAAAAAGATAAACAGGACTATTGTTTTACATCTTAGGTATCTTGCAAAAATGAATTTGCTAACTTAATGAGAGGAACATTAGAATTGATTGCAAGCTACAATTATATATTTTAAATCTACTTAATTTTGCAGTGAAGAACAAACAGGGATTTTGCTGGGGTAGTGAGGGCTTAGGAAGGTTTTTGAGAAACCCTCTTGGAGTATCTGATTTTGCCATTTGCTCTTGTTCCGAGTAACCATTTGTTGCCTCATCTCATTTTTATGTGATAAAGTGGAAAGGATAAACTTATAATCCAGTATATTTCTTTCAGCTCCTAAAGAAGCAAAACTCACACCTTCTGCATCTAAACCCAGACCATCTACCAGACCCAAAAAGCCACGAACTAAACCTGGTAACTCACTTCCATAGCCATCATTTGTTATAGTTTATCACTTACGTAGTGCATTTTAGCTTAAATTTATTCTGTATGAAGTTTGGCACTTAATCATCAGAAAGATGAGGAATTCCTCTTTGAGGAATAATATTTTTGTATTGAATCCAAAAAGGAAAAAAAAAAGAAGCAAAGCAAGAAAACTTTCAACTTTTGTATCCCAAATCACCAACTCACACAGCCTGGCATTGAAACAAGTTGTTTTCCTGCTTTTCATTTCAAAATCACAAGTTTTCCAACTTAGTTCAGCATAGAGTCTGGAACATGTAAATTCTCCTGCTTTGCTGGTGATTATAGCATCTTACATAGAACAGTAGGATTTTTATTGATTCAGTGATCATTAATGCATATGTAGACTTAATTGAAACTGTGGAAATAAGAGTGGAATTCTGTTCTGGAATTTAATAAAGGCATATTTTATGATCTCAAATTGCACCTTCATACTGGAGTTGAATTTGGTCTGTGATGTATGGCAAAGAATAAAATACACCTGATATTTTCTGGACCTGGAGAATAAGTAAATACAGTTACAAAAAGATTTCTAGTGTTACATGGTTTATAATGAAGTTAAAAAGCTTAAAATTGCACAATTGTTTATTGTAAGAATGTATCACTTAATGCTGGAAGAGATCAGACAATTTTATTAAATTCTTTCCAGATTCCCTGCAAATTACTTTTTGCTCATAAAAAGAAATTACTCTCTTCAGACCAAATTATTCCCTGGGAAGCTTGTTAACTGAATGGTACTTATGAGTTGGAACTGTCTCAAAATGGTGTGTATAATTAGTTTTTCATGCTGATTACAGCTGCTACATAATTTTTAGTGTAGGAAATCCAGTGTTGTATTACAAGAATAATTACTTTTGTCTCTGCTGTAGATGCCTATGTCTGAATATAGATCTGAATCCGGCATGTTGTTTTTTGAAACAGCAGAGAAAAAAACCAACTCATTTGAAAACTGTTGCATGAAATTATTTTACGCCCTTGGACTGGCAACATCAAGATTTTATACTGATGTTTCCACACTGAATAGCTAAATAACAAGTTTCTATATGACTACAAAAAAAATATCATGATTCTGTGTTTGTACTCATGCCTCTCCCTTGTCCTTTCCCTGTTGGTGGTTTCACTAATCAATCAGGTGGAATCCTAATACATGCTTTTTAATCACAATAAAACTTGTAAGGATTTTCCTGTAGGTAGGTAATTGTGAAATTGGGATGTATTCTGATGTGACAAATGATGATATTCTTGTTCAGAAGATATTATTTGAGGTATAAAATATGCATGGGGAGAACCTGGCTTTTGGGTGGGTGGCAAAATGGTCAAAGAGCAGGATGTTTCCGCTCACTTCGGAGTTCAGACTAAATTAGAAACTTGTGTCATGACAGTCGATGTCAACTTTCCTTAACAGTGAAGCAAAGTAATGAAGAATATGTGACAAATTCATACTTGATCAGGGACTTACTAATGACCCACTTTGGGTCAAACAGAGATCCTGAAAGTTGATTTTGGCTCTCATTGTTAATACGTCTTTTGTGCAGTTTCTGATTTTCAGTGGAGAAAAAACTTCATTTAAAAACCCCCAAACACAGAAACAATTTTCAATCCTTCCAAACAACAAACTATACATTCTAGTGGAAGTTCACAGCTCCATTTTTTTCTTGATATTTGGGTAATTGAATCTGTTACCTGGAAGAAAAAGAGTTTTTGTTGCCAATGTGTTCACGCCCAGCCATTGGCCTCACCTATACTATTGTTAGCATGAACACCTCTATCTAAATATACTAAGTTCTCCATTTTTCAGAACAGGAAATGATAATGAATTTTCTGTCATGCAGCCAACTGTACTGCAACATTTTCTTTCTGGAAAAGTTTTTCAGTATCTCTAGGGACTGAGATTCCTCTCTGGGCAATTACTTTACTTTAATTATTTGTCTTGAAGAAATTTTGGAACGTTTTGTTTTCTTAGAGTAATGGCAATAGTATCAAATATATCAACCATTGACTATCTAAAAATGTCAGCAAATAAATGAGGGGAAAATTAAAATTCTGAAATAATTCAGTCTTTTTAATTTAAACACAGTCCTCCCAGATACAATCCCCTCTCCACAAACCTTCATGCAGGGAAATAGAGACTTTTAAATTAATAAAGTAATTTTGTATCTAAACAGACAGAGTTTTAGAAGGTCTCAGGTTTTATTGTATTTTAAGTTAATTTCCTTGAAATAAGTGTACTTGTGAGTCTTGAAATGCCTGTGAATTTCATCATGACAAGTCACCAGTATGTCCAAAAAAATAATTTTAGGCACATTGTACAACATTCACCAATCACTTTTTCTTTCCTAATTAAAATATGTGTCTTATAGGTATAGGTAACATAAGGTAGACTGAGAAGAGTCAAAGCAGAGTAAAAAAATGAAGTAAAGTTTGTAGGTTTGGATAAGAACAGAGATTACTTAATGACTATAGATGTATTTAGGAATGAAAATGGACTCCAGTTGTAAACCCATGCTAATACTAAATAATTCTACAAACTCTGTTTTCAAAGATCCTTATATTTTTCAGAGTCTTTGGAGTTCATCCCTTTCAAACCTAATTAAGCACTATAGATAGAGTCAGGAAGCTTGTTAACTTGATTATCTAACGTGCTGTGGCACTAGTTAATCTACTGGGATCTTCGGCCTTGCCTTCTGTGACTTCACAGTTATTTACACCTCAAGTCTTTCACATCTAACCTTTGCATCACTATGGAAGAAACTCAGGAAAATTAATAGAAATATTTACCAAAGAAAAAGGATTTCTCTGCCACTGTTTCTTTTTAGTGGCCTACAGCCATAAAGAGGAGAAAAAAACCTTAGTAGAATAGGAAGATGAAGATTTACAGACGTCCTCTTCTGTTGTGTTCCTGTAGCATAAACGCACTTTTTAATTTTTAAGGTCCACAAAAGTCACACAGGGTAGTTATGAACATTCGGTAAATTTATCATTTACTCAGTGTTTCTGAATAGTTGGGAGGAGGTGGATTTTAACTGAGAAGCAAGAGCAACTGAGCCATACCAGCAGCTGAAAAATAGATATAGATGCACCTGTATTTCTCTCAAGAAAATTCTCTTTATTCCAGCAGCAACCATTCCAATGTCAGTCACTACTAGGAGTCCCTACACATATGAACGTCCAAAGACTGCAGAGGGTAATGATTATGAGTCATCTTTAGTCATTCTTCTTTTCACTGGTCTAATAGCATGTGCACCATTTCCTGTAGGCTTCTTGCTTATTCATATGTGGTCCAAACCCAAACAAATGGAAGTATAACCTTGAAGCTGTATTACTTCTCAATGTTTCTAGTATGGAGATGTCTTCTAAGAGGTAGTATCAAAAGCATCAATTGCAATCAAAGTTTGATAGTTTAATTTGTTGTGAAGCCGATTTTTAAAAGCAGTAGATGTATAGTAGAGTTTGGGAGATAAGTGAGTATGGGCTATAGAAAAGATTCTGTCTTTAGGTGTGTATGTCTGTATGTTTAATGCTACTTTATTTGTTAATGCCTTGAGAGAGGAGAGTTTATGTATTAATATTATTTTAATATATTTTCTGTACTGCCAGGAAATTTTTATAGATTCTGCCATTTTATAATGTTTTTTTCCATTTGGCGTAGTTTGTGAGGAGGAAAAGGACATGATATATCGGTTTTGTTATCCAAATTGTGACAGGATCTAATGAAGAATAACTAAGAGGTTTTACCAAAATAAGTTTTTTCAGATAATTAGTAAGTATAGCTGTGCCAATAGCAGCCTTTTAGTCCTCTGCTTAATTGCTTACCTTAGAGGAAAAATTCAATTGTCTTGTCATGGTCAGCATGCTACTTTCAAGTAGTAACAGGCATCAATTTGGAGATTCCTGACATTTTTGTATATCAAGAGTTCCTCTCTGGGTTAAGCTCCGTGATCACTTCTCTTGCTTGTTCTAAGATTTACTGATTCCTATCCGCATATTTTTGCTTCTGTTGCCATCAAGTTTGCCCAATTATATATTTCTTATTTAACCTGTATTATTAGGAACTTTAATTGCCCATGGGTTCAAAAAGTAAAAGTTAGTTTGAAGATCCACATTACCGTGGTGTTGTATTAACACCTGCTTTTATACGTACCGGTGTAGTAATTTTAGGTTTTCGGAGTATATTCCACACTTACTTTGTCACACTGTTTCTGTTGCAGTCTTGGATTCTATTACACTTAGAACTGAACCACCAAGGCCAACGATAGGTAATGATATTTCCTTGGCCAGCTGTCATGTCTGCTTTTTTCCATCACAGAAAGCATCACTGAAGTTAATCACCTTATGCCTTAGGATTGTTTCATTTAACTTCATTTTCCTTCTAGGTAATTCTCTTGCTTGGCATTCACGACCATTGGGCTTATTGCTTTCTTCACAGCTGGAATATTGCCTGGTTTTTAAGAAATTATTCTGGCAGCTCTCAATCACCTTTCTCATAATTATGCTTGTTTGTGTTTGTTCCAGTTTTTATTAAAACAAAAACCCAACAAACAACTAAGCTTCAAAAATTACTAAAATTCCACTTTCCTGTTTTGATTGTTGTAAACACATGGAGTATTACCTGACTTTCTTACTTCCTACAAGGAGACTTCTTGGTTGCAGGTGTGAGGTTTCTGTGCTTGTGTGTTCATCTGGTATCAGATTTGTTAAATTGCTGTGCAATTTAACCAACTTATTACCCACATTTTCTCTTCCAGCTCCAAGGGAGACTCCACGTGTTCCTTCTAAACCTAAAACTTCACCCAAACCTCATATCCCACAAGCCAAAGATGGTAAACTGCTTTGTGATTATTTCTGATTCAGTTTATATTGGATTGAAATGTATTTCTGAGCAGCTGTTTAGTTACCTGAGCCAGTTAAAACATAATGGGGTTCTGTTCTGCTGTGCTCAGCAATTTATTTGCAGTTTATTTGCTAGGTATTTTTCATCATGCAAAAGAATAAATCTCTGTTCCTTCAGGGCAACAGGATGAGAATAATTTTGTTACACTTAGATTAACTGTGCTAACTGTTAACTGTGCTAACAAGCAATTAAACTATGCACTGTGGCTACTTGGGTGGTACAATTATTTCCCACACTGCTTTGCATTGTTAGAATAAATATATTATGTTTCTTTTTTAAGTAACAATTATTTAATTTCATGGCATTATTATTTTCTGCATGAGAAATCGTCCAGTACATAGTTAGTATTTGTTTATAAATATTTATTGGCATTAATGATCATTTAATCGGTATTCAAAAATACTGGATTTTTATGTCATTAAATGTGAGTGCAGTTGAAAAATTACTTTCTGTCCCCTGCTATCCAGTTTGTAATATCAACATAAAATTGCAAGAGTATCAAATATTAAAATATGTTATCTTTTGGTAAATGTGAAAAATTTAATGATAATGAATTTAATGAAGATCTTTAAACTGTAGACATGAAGGAATATTTTTTTTAATCTGGTGTTATCTATTAGATGTGATTATCTTCTGTAGAAAACAAAAGAAAAAACCTTGTCCTCTCATAATTTTTTAACCGTGACAGCATTGTTTCCAAATTACACCTTAAAATGCAGCTTCTCATTAGCTCAGCTTTTACCTCTGTGGCCATTTTTCATTATTATGGCAGTCTGACCTTCTCAAAAATAATTAATGGTTTTGTCACACAAATGTTACAAGCTTGTACTGTTCTGTGTTTAAAAAAAAACAAAACAAAAAACCAACACAACAACTTACTGTTTCTTCAAGAATCTATAATATACAGAACTTTTTCTATAGCATCATCCACTTACCTTGTGATTGTCTTAAAAGATCAAAAGAATTTTTTTCTTTTTTATTGTAATCCATAAAGAAAAATTGACAGAGAGGGATACCATCAATTTCACACCCTTATGGCTCCTAAACACACAGTTTTGTTTTAGATCCATACCAGTTTAGAGCTGAATAATATGAGTGTGCAACACAATACATCATAGCGCTCTTTAATAATATGGCATCCAGTAAACAAGCAAGTAGTCTCTGATTCCAACTGTATATATAAACTGCAACTGAAATACACCACAAAAGGAAGATATTTGTGTCTCTAGAAAGCCATTTTTGAATAACATAATTCTATATATTTGGATATCTCATTGAAGCCCGTGGGAGAACAAAGCTCACGTTATCTTGCAGGTTACACTGCTTTCTCAGAGACTTCTTTAAAGGTAACTGTTTCTTTATGAGGCAGTATACATAGTATATGATTCAGAGAGCGGTTACTAGTCAAGTAATACTAATTGTAAGGGGAGTTACTCTCTTCAATTTTCAAAATGTCTTCTATGTTTTGTTTCCAATACAGTCCTGGAATCCATAACATTTAGAACTGATCAACTAAAACCAACAATAGGTAACAGTTTTACCTAGAGGGTAAATCACTTGGGGACCATGACATTCAGCTTTTCTCTCAGTGTATGCTGAGCATCACAAGTATACCTTCATTGTACTCCACCATCATAATTTTTTTCTATTAAATTTCATCCTGCAAGAGATTTTTTGATGATTTTACACTAACAATTAATAGTCATCTTTTCTGGTTTTTTTTTCACACAAATGCATTCTGTAATTCTTTGACTACTTGTCTCTATACTCAGATTCTATCATGTGCTACTTCACCTTTTATATTGGTCCATCCATACTGGCCTTGCTTTATGCTATCCTGTTACAGAGGTTCTCCATCAGCACTGTTTTTTCGGATATCAAGCTTTCATATATCTCCATTACTCAAGTTTTTTATGTTTCCAGAGGGTCCCAAAGGCATATATTCTTTTTTAACATTATGTCTTCTGTCAGGATGAGTTCTTGAAATTATTTCTTTTTTTCAGTCCCTAGGGAACCACACCATGTTCCTTCCAAACCCCGAACATCACCAAGCTCAGAGATGTCACAACCAAAACCTGGTAAGTACATTGTTTCTTTACATTTTCATACTGATATGTGTGCCTTTGAAATCTACTGTGATCAGTGGAGCTTCAGATTTATATGTAACCCTTGCACATATATTCCTTGTGTGATAAAATTGTGGAATTTATAAGCAACCTGGTAAGTTTAAAATCTCTGTCTACAGTTCTTTGTTACATTTTAAGTCACTGCAACAGCGGGCATTTTCTGTAGCAACTAAGCACACATCAGCCACTTTCCTATTCCACCCCACAGTGGTTTGGGGGAGAGAATTAGAGGAGCAGAAGTGAGAAAAAAAATTGTAGCTCAAGATAAAGACAGTTTAGCAAGTGAAGGATAAAAAAAGGAGGAGGTGGAACCAAGTGATACCACCAACCACATCCCACTAGCAGACCAGTGCCAATTTAGGAGCAATGGGTCCTTTAGGAAAGTTTTGTTGCTAAGCATAACATTATACGAGGGGGAATATCCCTTTGATCAATTTGGTTCAGCAGTCCTGGATATGTTCCCTCCTGGCATCTTGCCCGCCCCCAGCCTACTTACTTGGGGGCAGAGTTAAAAACAGAGAACTCCTTGATGCTGAGACAAGCCATAATCAGCAATAGCTAAAACACTGGTATGTTAGCAACACTTTCTTGGTCACGAATTTAAAACATAGTACCACAGGGGCTGCTATGAAGAAAATAGACTCTGTCCCACTCAGACCCAGTACGGGTACCCAAACTAAATGCAGTATTAGATGGTATTGCTGAAAAAAAGGGACAGAGAGACGATAACTTGGGTTCCTTTTTCCCCCAGTAAGTCTGCAGCTATTGTTTGAAAAAAACCCTCTTGAAATAAGTCAGGAAAGTGTACAAAGATGAAGGTGAAAAACCACCCACAATCTCTTTGTGGCTTTTACAAAAGCTTCAGATTTATATTTGGAATCTGTTCTGTATTAGAGCTATTACCTTGAACTGGAGGCAATTCTGAGCAGCATAATACTCTGAAGTGTTGAATTTCAGGGAGAAGTGACCATCTGTCATCAGCCTCAGCAGGGATGGTATCATTATTGCGGAGACAGTGATTGTAACATTTTGATTGTTCCTGGTAATACTTGTTTTTGTTGTTTTATTTTGCTAATACAATTCTGGAACCAATTAAGTTTAGAGAAACCAAAGTCAACAATAGGTAATGATGCTTTCTTGTTTGAGTAGTCATATTTTCTTCCTTCTTCAGCACAAATCATTAGGAGTAGACCTACAAAAATTTGTCACCTTTCTTTGCATGTTCCTTAATAATTTAACAGTCAAAGTTCTCTGTCACTCTTTTTATTTTCTGCACAACAATTGAGAAAGTCCCTTGTTCCTTTCAAGTTGTTATACACAGAACTTAGGCAATTTTCTTCAATATTTAATGATAAGAGGCAGAAAGTAGATCAGAACAGGACCCTAACTTATATGTCCTCATTCAGACTGTAGAGGAGGCATGATTTCTGTTGGTCATATGATTGGGGAAGAGCAGGTTTGCAGAGCTGCAAGCTGCAAGCTTGCTTTCTCTGCTTCCCTTCCCCTCTAGTTTATGAAATGAAATTCAGTCCGACACAGAGGACTGAAAAATTATTCTGTTTGACTCAAACCTGAATTTCACTGTCAGAAAACAATTGCTTCAGTGATCTTGGGTCACATGATTGCTTGAGGCAGATCCGTTTGACTAAGGATTTTTTGTCACTTGAATCTGGTACTGTGCATCATTCCAGGACAACCTCCATTACAGAGCAGTATTTGAAGCTACTTATACTGTTTTCTTCTTCTATAATTTTTTAAATCCTCTTCTTAAATGGAACCACTAATTCTATCACATGCTTAGCTGATGTTTTGTCACAGAAGATTATTTCTTTTCTCTATAATCTGATTTTGTTAAAAAACCTCTCTTTTGGATCACTTCCATAAGAATACCTTTGGTTCAAATCTTTGTTTTGTTTTTATTGACTGTTATGGGTGGTAGTTGACACTGACACCTTGGAAAACTTTAGTAATGTTTAACCCAGTTTCTTTCTTTCAGCTCCTAAAGATACACGTCCAGGGCCTTCCAAATCTAAAACTTCACCCAGTCCACGTGTTCCTCCAACTAGAGCAAGTAAGCTTGTCAATATTTTGCCCTTCAGTGCGTGAATTTTGCCCATCAGTTTGAGAATTTTCAAAATTGAGGAGTTCCACTATCATAATCAAATTTTGCAATATAACTGTCATGGAACAAGATAATCAGCTACATATTTATACATGTCAATAACATAAAATGATAGAGATGTGTGGGTTAACACTCACCTTGAACCCTTGCACATAGAAAAATTTGCATCTTAATTTCCACAGAGTGTAAGAGAAGTATAAGTACTTTTTAGTTACTCAATTACAAGTGTAAAATTACAGTACTTTCCTGCTCCCAAAATTTTGAAAATAGTTCTGTCCATTTGAAAATTAATGGTAAGTTTCCATGTTTCTTCTGCTTTGTCTGCTTTGCTGTAGAATTTTTTTAATGCAAAGTTGATTTAAATGAGCAGTAGATTTTTGGAATATGAAACAATTGAGAAGCACAATTAGAGGAAGTGTTAGAACTACAGCAGTTTACTCTGTAGAAAGTTCTATTCAAAACTACTGAGAAGAGTGGAGAGTGAATCTGACATTGCACTATAGAAGTCACTTTAGTCTTTGCACTGACATAATATTCATTGCATTGACAGGAGATCTCTTTGTGATTATTTTCAAATGACAGAAGTAATTTCTAAAAAATTTCTTAGTAGAAAATTAATCTCCTGTCAGGAAAGATCTAAAGACATATGCTGAATTATCAACCTCAAGAACATGTTCAAAACTTTGCACATCTTCACAGGTCCAAGAATTATCATCCTCAATAACATACTCAAAACTTTTCTCTCCTTCACAGGTCCAAAAGAAAGTCGACGAGTCCCTTCGAAGCCCAGGGCATCACCAAGTCCAGATGTACCACACACAAAACCTGGTAAATATGTTGTTGTTTTGTTGTGCTTGAATATTCAGTGTTTCTTTTAGGTTGTCCTTCCTCAATGAATCAAATGTTGATTAACATCTCTTCATGTTACAAATACGTTTTCTAATGGTTATTATATAGGTGTTTAAAGGAAGATAGAGCTGATTTCTCTTTTTAATGTTTGATTTTTGGTTAATTATCTATGCTTTTCAGCCACATGACAGCTATCACTGATGAATAATCTGTATAGCAGGGTAGACAACATACAAACATTATAAAGAAGTTGGAAGAAGTTGCATCTCTTTTGTGCCTATCAAAAGGTGCTTAGAGAAAACCATGGATGGTTCATGTATGACTCTAAAAATATCTGTAACTCAAACCATTCATATGTTTGTGTGACCCTTAAAATATACTTAACAGGGATTTACATACCCGTGAACTGCCAAACCTCTGTAACGCGTAACAATTCTGAAAGTATCAGTTGAACATTATTTTGAGTGAATGTATATTCACTAATTTCATAAATAAATAATTTATTGGAAAAAAATACGTGCTCCAAATTGAAAATAAATCAGTCGTAAAAGGGAGTATTTTTACCCTTTTGCCTATATGTACCCTTAATGCTATGTATCATATTTTTTATGAAGTTTTGGCACCTAGTACATTTACAGTTGAACAACAAAAGACAACAACAGGTAAGGTTGTTAGCTTGAGCTGGTCATGGTTATTTCTTCCCTACTCCTTGGACCAATGTTTATGTATCATTAGTCTGGTTTTCACATTATCTGTTTGGGTTTTTTTTTTTCTTTTGTACTTATTGAACTTAACTCTACTCTGTTCCAGGTATTGAAAGACTAGCTGTTTTGTTGTCTTCACAGAAAATTGCTTTCCCTGTCATACGTATTGTGTGACGCTTTGACACTTGTAGGAGACAAGCATGCCATGGGTATTGTAGTTATGAGCTTTGAAATACAGGTGGAAACATGTCCACTGTAGTTGTCTGTGTTCTTTCAGTTTTTGTTGCTTGACACCAGATTTTGTTTACTTGATCAATTTTGCACCTGTGTTTTCATTCATTATTTTCTTTTCCTTTAAATTCCTGTATGTATCTGACACTTGATTTTTCAGTTCTCTTATGCAGGGATTGTTTTTGTTAGCAAGCATGACACATGCAGTGCCTGTGAAATAAACCTGTCTTATTTCTGAGAAGTATAAATTCCTAAAACAGATCTTTCTTTCCAGCTTCTAAAGAACCACAATATATTCCCTTTAAACCTAAAGCAACCCCCATCCCAGATGCTCCACGCAGGAAGCCTGGTAAATTATCTGGTCTTTTGTCAAGGTTGATAACTGAGCAACTGCTTTGAGGGTGGGTGGTGGGGCAAGTTGTCATCAATGCATTTGCTGTTATCTAGGTATCATTCTAGCTTAAGAAACCTCTGCAGTGCTGCAATTAAGTCCTACCACTGATGGCAATTTCGCAGTTCAAGGGTTTTTTTGTCTTATGCAGATATTACCAGAAGAAACAGTAGCGACATATATGCCTTAGTCAAGGATTACAAGTTATCCACAGCTTGCATCTGAGCAACACACTTCAGTAGTTTGCACCGTTTTTGAACATGAGAGAAACCTCTTAATGTTGTTGCATTACTTTTTCCTTATTTACACATTTCTGTCCAGGTTAGACTGAGGATACCCTTCAGTTATATTTTGATTACATGACTCCCCATCAATACATCTGACTGATCTGTGGTAACCAGTGATTTCACTGAAGGGTTGTTACTATTGTTTCGTAACCATAAATTTCTAAGGTTGAATGCCCATTGCTGTTCTCTTTCCTGGTGTATACAGTATAGTGCTGAAAGATTTTTTAGGGAGGTGGGAGGGAAAGGGAGACTCTCTTGGTTATTCAGATAATTTATTGACATTTTTTCCAACAGAAATCTTTCCAACTTTTGGTGAACCAGATACTACTATGATTCCTCGTATTCCTGAAAGAACAAAGGCAACATTGGGTAATCACGTATTTCATAAATAATTATTCTATTTTTCATTCTTTTTAGAGCAGATCATCTTAGAGAGAACTCATTACATTTTATTAAAAACTAATAATGAAATTTTGCTCTGCTTCTAGATATTTACTTACTCTTTGGTCTCGTTAAGGGTAATAGTGCATGAGCCCATTTACTTTCAAAGGTTTTTTTCCTCATCTTCTAGCCCTTCTACTCAGGATGATGCAATTCCTCCACATGTTATCTATTTTCCAGCAAAAGGGGACTTTATTTAAAGAGAGGTAGCAATTCTTGTAACTTCTTCATCTGAAGTATGGATAATGTCATTCTAAAATACTCTTCTTCTTCACTCCTGTTGTTGTTTAACAGCAGCCAGCAACTAAGCCCCCACCAGCCAGCTGCTCACTCCCTCACCAGCAGGATCAGGGAGAGAATTGGAAGGATAAAAGCTAGAAAACTCGTAGGTTGAGATAAAGACAGTTTAATAGGTGAAGCAAAGGCCACACACAAGCAAAGAAAAACAAAGAATTAATTCCCTACTTACCATGCTTACCTGCTCCAGCCATCTCCATGAGAGCAGGGCCCCATCACGTGTAAGAGCTACTTGGGAAGACAAACGCCATCATTCCAAACTTCCCCTTACTCCTTTATCCCTCCAACTTTATATACTAAGCATGATGTCATATGGCCTGGAATGTCAAGAACTGTTTGGGTGATACTCTCAGGCACATGGTGTGACTCTCGGGGATGGTCCTGTGCAGGGCTAAGGGTTGGACTCGATGATCCTTGTGGGTCCCTTCCAACTCCCCTTATTCTGTGATTTTGTGATCCCCTTGGTCGGTTTGGGTCACCTGTCCCTTCTGTGTCTCCTCCCAGCCTCATGCATCCCCAGTCTCCTCACCAGAGTGGCAGTACAGAGAGCAGAAAAGGCCTTGGCTGTGTGCAAGCACACAACAAAAACATCTCTATATTATCAACCCTATGTTCAGCACAAATCCAAAACACTGCCCCATACCAGTCACTGTGAAGAAAGTTAACTCTTCCCCAGCTGAAACCAGCACAACTCCTCATGGTATAATTTTACAGAAGAAAATTATAAGGTATCAAGTATAGCGTAAAGTATACAGACCAGCTAGGTGACCCTCTAAATCTAATATTAATCTAATTCTTAAAACCATCCACTCTGCTAACTTCTAGTCACTCACGTTGGGAAAACTTGCTTAAATATATGAAGCATTGGCTGACTATTCTTTCTTCTTAACTGAATTTCAGATGTGGACCAATTAAGGGTCACTGAATCCAAGCGGTATTGGGCAGTGCGAGTATTGCTTGAGCAATCTTTGCTAATAATCAGTTCTCTGTCCGCAGTTTCAGGCAGATATTGACCCTGATTTTCTGAAAATGAAATGGTACCATTAATGAAATAGCAATAGCTATTTATTGGCTTAAAACTACGGGGTTTTTTCTTTTTTGAGGAAGGGGAAATTAGAAATGCTTTTCATCATGTCTCTAGTTCAATATATATTCCCTGTGTGCATTGACACTTAGGTTAGTATTCAACCAATATCTCTTTATAGAGCTTTATAAAGTAGGTGTCCTGTTGAACACTTCTGGGGCTACCTAATGCAATATTTGTATGCAGAAAATTGATTCTTCAGAACAAGGGGGATGAAAATGCACAGGCTAAGGTATTTGGGACCTCTAATGTTGGTGTGGACCACAGACTAGCAAGAGCTAAGATAACTTCTTTCAGTAAATGATTCCTACCTTTTTTTTTACAAGAATTTTAAACTGAAGAGTGTGAAGATAACAACATTAAATCATTCCCATATAAGAGCAAAAAAGTTAATTTATAAATCAAGTTTGATGCAAAGTCCCCACTGAAAAACAGAGCCTGTCCTCAGATACTCATATATGGCAGATGAGGAAGATGTAGGCTACTACTGTCTGGTTTTGTCCCATTCCTTTACAGTGTGATGTTCATGACTGTATTCTTCACTGCTTGATGCAAAGCTAGAAATTTGTATATATATTTTTTTAGAAGTGTGTTTGTGTAAGTGGCCATTTAACTTGTTTTCCTTTCTTTGCAGGAATTCCAACTGATTGGTTTTCAGCTTTACCCTTGCATAACTTGTCTTATTACAGATCAGACTGTACTTATGATCCCTGTATGCTATGAAAGCAGTGTGTTTTTTCAATTATTGTTCTGGGTGCTGTTTGTTTTTATTCCAGCTCCAACTGAAAAACAGTTCATTCATACCAAACCAAAAACAACTGAAAAACCAAGAGTGCCTCACACCAAACCTGGTAATGGAGTCATTCTTTTAATTTTATCTGCTTGTGTTTAATCAGTCTTTCCCTTAGCCTCAGGTTTTGTGCTTCTTAACAGAATTATTCGTAGCCAGTTTTTTGCTGAAGCAGATGCTTTACACTTAAGACAATCAAACCAAAATATGTCAAAACTACACTGAAAATAATAATAAGATATGTAATATAAAATAAAAAATGTTTTCCCTCCTTTCTATTACACATAGCAAATGATGACTAAAATGTAGTAACGTGGGTATTGACAAATTTCGGTGGCTAGATAGATTGAGTTCTCTCTGATTACTTCCTGATAATCAGGGATGCTTCTCTGTGAGCACTTTCTTTTTCTTTTCATAAAACGCAACAGAATTCCTTTATGATGTGCTTGTACAGTGAGCAACTTACATTGTGCTCTATACTGGAACAAAATTAGCTTTGAAAAGTGTTACGGGGGCTGTGTGGCTTCCCATTTTTGTTATTAAGGGAATGTATAGCAGAAGTTAATAGAAATATAACTATATCTGTCAGCAGTTGATTTTCAAGATATTCTGTTACTCCTTAGTTTGGGGCATTTTGCAAGTTTTAAAAATAGTGCAAATGCTATTTGTTTCTATTACAGATAACTATTCTAAGATTCTTCACATTCTGTCTTTAACAGCAATACGTCAGACAACTCCACAACCAATTATTACAAAATCTTCTACTACCACTGGGCATTCAAGGGCAACAATGGGTAAATAAGTTTTCTTAAAGTTAAGATGCAGGTATTTCCAATTTTTCAATTGAGAAATTTCTAGAGAACACAGATGGGTATTTACGTAACACCGTTTCACTATCCTTCATTCTGCTACCACATGCATGTACCTTAGTATGGAGGATTCTCATTTTTCTTTTAGACGTAAAGCAAAAATAGCCTACAGCTTATGTCTGGTCAGAAATCTGTATTTGTCAGATTTCCAACCAAATTTAATGTCAAATTTTTCTTTTAGACCAAGAATTTTAGCCACTAACTCAACTTATCCTACAGCACACTGCTGGGACTTTTCTGTGTTTTGGATAGTCGTTTTGTTTCAGGTTCCAGAAAGCCATGGAATTGTTATTGTCTTTTTTTCAGGCATTTGAGGCATGCATTTTCTGTGGGCTAAATATGGCATTGGATCATGACTCCTGAAGAACACAATAATAGTCTTTTTCCTTTTCTTTCAGCTCCAAAAGAAACACTGCTCATTCCTTCCAAACCCAAAACATCTGTCTGGCCAGAAGTACCACAAACTAAACCTGGTAATTTACAGTTTGTAACTTTAGAAGTGTTATTGTGGCACTGCCTTAGTTACATTTTCGGCTGTCACTGAGTACTGTAGTCATGGGACATGCATAATAAGTAGACAGAAATTGGTGTCATAGTTCAGCTGAGAGTATGTTAATAAATTATAAGAAGCTGAATGCCCAAGAATTGCATCCATTTCCATGGAGAGCAGCTGGACGGGTTTAGTAGCCATTAAAAATGTGAGGAATTCAGTTAATTTTAATAAAAATATATTTCTGTGGTCACATTCACAAAGTTCTTTTCTTTTGGGTGATTTTATTAGCCTAAATACATTTGATTCAATTTCTCAATTACTTTTGAAACTCGGGTTCCAGAATCTCAGTCCAAGATAGTTAGATGCTGAGAGTATAAGTGCCTTCAGCATAGTGACTTCTTGCAGTAACCTCAGTACATTCAGGGATGCACAGTTTACAGTGAAGGACAGTGATACCTCAGCTTTACCTGGTGTGAACTATTTCAATAAAAATTGCCAAGTAGGAAGGTTACAGGAGAAAAATATAGATAGGGGAGGAGTAACAACATGGTTATAAGAAAGAGCAGCTCCTAATCTTTCTTCCTCTCTGGTCTAACAACAGAACTGATAATATTTTAGTTTAAGGTAAATCACTCAATGAATAGTTTTATAATTTCATGCACACTTTTTCCCCTTAGACTAGTACTTTTTTTCATAGCCAAAAAAGAATTTAAGCGGACACCTTATTCATTCAAGAACTATATATATATGCGTATATACTATACATACGTATATATTACTATGAACATCAGAATGAACAGTTCATGAAAAACATTTCTGTTCTAAATGCCTTATTTTGAAAGGCTGTTAAGTAGCCAAGTTAGATTCCAAGTCTCAGTTGAATAAGAGCTACTTCCAATCATGTCATAGTTAACAAGTGCCATCTTTTGGTACCACTACAAAGTTAGTTTTAGGGAAAGAACTTTAGAAAACAAAATTTAGAGGTTTATTCTTTTAAGGTTTAGATCATTGTAATTCTGTATGCGCAAAACAAACTACTGTTAGGAAAAACAGTAAACAAATTTTTATTGTTAAATACAAATGTCACTATTTAGCCACTGCTCTTTATGCTAGTTAGGTTATTTTCCAGCTTCCATATTTTAACCTTATTTCTGAAAGACAAAGAGGTATGTAGTGTGTGTCTCTGCCTGCCAGTCTGTCCTCTTCATTCAGTAATTTAGATATCTTTCAATAAATTCAATCAAATTTGAATGAGGTCTGAAAGATAAATATGTTACTACAAGCTTTTAGAAATGTTTTATGGAAGTGTAAGTTAATATACTAAGTATGAAAAAGACCAAAGACTGTCAGAACTCCACCTTTAGGGCATTTGTTCTGAAGTTAGTGGGGGCCCAGAACAATCATTGCACTGTCTGGCCATCAGCATGAAAATACATCCAGACTAATCAGAACATGTTTCTGTCTCATATCTGTTAAAATTGTCTTAGCAGATGTGTAGATAGGTTTTTAGGAAATAATGGAGACAGATCCTTTGTGAAATTCAACTTCTTTAATTTCCCTTCTCACAGAACAATGGTTTATTTTTTATAGCTCCAAGGGCAACACACCTGGGATCAATTAACCTTGTAACAGTTCATGTTGTTGATGGGTCCAAAATACCTTTGGGTAATGAGAATATTATGTCAGTTTATTTTTCTTAAAACTTTACTTTCCCTGCTTTTGCTATATAGCTAAACTTACACTTTAATCAACAGAAATACCTCAATATATCTTTATGTCATGTTCATTTGTTAGTTACGTTCCAGTGCATGTACAAAGTATTGCTGGTTTTAATTTTCCGGGCATTTTTCTTCTTCATGAAATCTTTTCTAGAACTAAGTACTTCATGTACAAGGCTAAGGAGTCGTGTAAAAAGGCATTGCCTGATCATCTTTTCTGATTTTGTCTGACTTACTAATTGTATATGTCTTCCAGTCTTGAAAAGTCTTTTTCCTGTATAAAAGCATGATTTTCAGACAGGATTCTAGTACTGACTCTTTTTGTTTATGATCTGCACAAAGACAATTTGAATTTCCTTTCCACCTGTGGTGTCTTATGTTTAAAAGGAAGTAATTTGCACTTGATAAGCAGTAATATCTCCATTTTCAGTTCCCAATGAAACATACCACATTTCACCCAAGCCAAAAATTGCTCAAGCAACTGAAATTCCATGGTTCAATACAGGTAATTTTTAAGATTCTCTTAAGTTGTTGTATTGAGAGTCTGTAAATCTGAAGTAAAATCAGTACCGTTTAATATTTAATTATCAAGTTCATTATTACCTTTAAAACCATTTCAAATACATAACATGAAAATTTATTTTCCCCCTAATCAAATATTTTTGATGCTTTGAAAAGGGGGTTTAATCAGTATTTTATCAAAGACAATGTGAAGCTTTTAAACACTATGAGACAGATATATAGTGCTGCAAATATAGATGTAACTAACTTCCACTGTTTACCTTATAAAATCTAAATCTGTAAAACTTTTCCCAAATCTAAATGTCAAAACTGAGTAATATGTTCTGTACTGCATAAGTATTTTCTCTGATACTTCAGAGAGGCTGGATTAAGTGTTATGGATAGAATGGTTATTAGATTTGAATATCAAATAGCCAGCTCTATTTATTTAAAAAGCTGACTTACAGAGGTTGATAACTGTGCAAAAGACAACAGTGTCTTATGCTTTCAGCTTTTGACGTGACTCACACAGATGTAACAACTGCAACAACTACCCTATCAAAATTATTTTGCAAGTGAAAGGCAACAATAAGAAAAGGTTGCAGGCTTCCGATTTCAACCTTGATGATGACCCTGTGCTTCAGCTGTCTTACACACTGTTTGCATTGTATGCTTCTGGTTGTTTTCTCAGCAATAATTCACTGTTTCATGGTTTTATCTAAGTATTTTGTTTGGAGGGTTCCAGTGTGGTGTTTTATTTTGAGGTTTTTGTTTGTTTGTTTTTTACAGAACCTAATTAAATGTCTTAAGGCCATGGATACCTTGCAGAGCTAACTCTGTATCCATATACAGTTGGGTAACTGGCTGTAAATATTTTATATCTTTTCCTAAACCTAAACATGAATGTAACTGGTCAGACTGCATGATAGAGTCATCTGACCACTAAAGAAACTAGCATTTTCAACATGCATTTTGGATTGGAACTCATAGAATTCTCATGTGTCCATTTTGCTGTATCACATTGGTGCATGGACCTTTTTTTCTGGCAAATTGCACTGCACTATTGGTGTTCTTTTACACAGCATTTAAGCAGAACCTTATTTCTTTTAGCACCTCATAAAACACGTCTCACCTCTGCAAGACCAAAGCCATCGGATAAATCACAGACTAGACCTGGTAATAATTGTTTATTCAATCTGGGATGGGGAGGAGATTAATTAATTAATTAATTTCCCCTATTCTCAGTGGAATTTTAAGTGTTGTTGGGAGAAAAAAGGGGTATTTTTTTAATCAATTAATAAGTCTACAGGTAAAGCCTCTCCAAATCAGAAACCAGAACTGTGTGTGTCATCACGCTAGATGTCACTTTTTCTTCTCTAGTGTGGAATTGTTGGCATCACATAGAAATCTGTTGGGTGTTCTTCTCATGGAACTTTTTTTTATCTTTCTCTTTTTTCTTTTTTAACTCTCTCACAGTTTTTAGTAAAACCACACAAGCACCAGCCAGAACAAAAGCACCTGGACTGCCACAGTGGATTGTGCCAACAACAGGTAGAGCTGCATTTTTTGGGGATTTTTTTAGCTTATCAGGAGAAGATATGAATGTGACTTCCTCAAATCATCTTGAGCCCTGCAAAATATTTCATTGTGTTTCGTTACAGAATGTAATTCCTCAGAGTACCATGTGTAATTGCTGCTACTGATCATGTTATAGAATTCCTGAGAGTCATTGTGAAATTATATTGGCAGTCTATGTAAACTTACAGGTAGATTATTATGGGGCTACTGTTTACTAATGTTTTCTAGATGTTAGGTCCAGGATAATTACTGGAAAACACTGTTGAAAAGGGTCACCCAGTTGTTTGAGTCCAAATCAGGAGGGTTGGTAGGAAAGTCTTAAAGCCAGATATCTTACTAGCTACTATCTATGCATGTGGTGTGTTCACACCAGACCAGTTCTTACTCAGACCATGCAGTACTTGGACTGTGGAGTATTCAGGTTTGAATACTTCAGCATCAAAGAATTCCAAATTGATGGATGATAGAGGAGGGTGAGAACTTCAATTTACATATCCTTACACACAGAGATAACATACATCCCTAACCAGAAAGATTTATTAAAAATATGGGTTTCGTTGGGGGAAAAAATCATTTGTCCTTTTTCAATTGTACTTGATTTTTCAATCCAATCAAAATAATGTTGTCAGTGTTAATCATAAAGAATCGGTAATTTTTTATTTAATAAAGCATTAATTTATTACATCAATACAAACACTGTTGGTTTTTTAATACAGCCATTGTTTAATTAAATACATAATTTTGGGATTCTTCATCAACAAAGCAAGTTTAAAATAATACATATTATGAATGAATAAATAAATACATATATAAAATCACATATTTAGAGCAAACTTTTGGCTGTTCACCCATTACTGATAGTGCTACTGTCCCATACCATTGCTCTGTGATAGCTAGGTTAGGATAACCTGAATTATATACTATCTATTCTAAACATTTTTGTCTGTGTAATGTTTCCCTCTAGTATCTTTGGCAATTTAATACCTGTTGCTGATCACAGAATGACTTGAACTACTCTTTCCCATACATAATTTTGAAAAGCCCACCATGTTTTTAGAAATGGTACAAACTCAGAAGAGATGGTCGTATATTTAAATTGAATTAAACTTAACCTGTTTAGAATAAGACCTACTCTTCTGTATTACACACTGAGTGAATGCCTTCATTAGACTTACGTGCTCTTTGACCTTTCATAGTCCTTCTGGTCAATGAAATGAGCCCATCACATTCCAGCACATCAGAACCAGTTACAGTATTAAATGACCAATGTCAGTAGTTGTGGGTCAGAAAGTTTTGTTCTTTCCTTGTGTTGGAAATCTTCTTATAAATTATGTCTGATTCCTGAAATAGGCAGAATGCACACAGGTCTCCCGGGGTGATCACATTATGAAATTATGCACAAATATACAATTGTGTTAGACAGTATATTAAGCTTTTCTATTCTCCAGCATAGTAGTAAACTTGGCAGGGGTATTTGTAGGTTATAAAAAAAGACCAACAAAAATGAATGTATGCTGAGTATATCAGTAGTCTAAACATAATAGTGAGCCTATAAATTGTTACATGTAGTTTATTGTGCTTAATACTGGTTTAGGTGCTAAAACATTGTTTTAAGCAATCCTATTCTAAACGCTCTTCTTGGTGTGCCCACCAGCTGTCATCATTTCCATCTCTTTATGGTAGTGCCCATTTCACTATTATAGAAGAGCTATAGCTTCGTTGTGGTAGATGATGTCAAAAGTCATCACAAGACTGCTTCTTACTGTGCACGTTATATGTACTCACTGGAAAATACTTTTTTTAGAATTCTTCTGTAAAATGATACTTCCAGTAATATTTTCCATTACCAAGTTACATCAGTCTTTTTTCTCTAAGTTAAAGAAACATCCTGAAGGTGTTATAACACTTTAAGATATCCTGAGGTTTTTTGGATCTGAAGAAGTTAATTTCTTCATGATGAAAATGTTATTTTCTGTGATTAGTTTATCAAAATACTTCACTTTTGATCTAACCTGATCAGACTCCTTAATTGGCCTGTAAGGAAAAATATGTTTTCAGGTTTACCTTTAGACATTTTATCGTTTATTTTTTCTCTGAAGAAGAGAACATTTACTGAAGAGCCATGGTTAGTTACTATGTTGTTTAAACACCAATTTTAACTTTTAATTCCTTGCTGGACTGGCATTGCTGTTGAATGCACTCCATTCCTTCTTCCTGACTGGGCTCATTAGCCTCAGTGCAAAGATGTTTCACCCCATGGAGAGTCTGCTTGGAAGCTGCAGGGCCCAGATGATAAGCAGAATTTGTCTTTTTCCAGCATCAGCACATGAGATTGTGGCTGGTTTCCTGGCAGGCTTTTTAGTCTCCTGGCTAGCTGTAGTGCCAGGTGGTAAACTTGACTGTGGAAAAGAGGCAGAGATTACCTCCTCATGACTAGCATTCCTTTTAGGTTTTTTGCCAAGTTTTAGCCTTTTTCTCTAGAATATCATTTTTTGAGATGGCTTTTCATATTTATCTTTGTGTACGTAACTTAGTATACTGAGTTATTTTTCAATTTATACCTAATCTTTTAAAAACTGCTCCTGATCTATTGAACTTCCTGACAAATGTCAGCAAACAAATATTAAACAACATTTCCATTTTCCTTGTGAAACAGAGAGATACTTGGTTTTGTTTATAATACCCATTATCTTTGTGTTCTATTTTCTTTTTATTTTTTAAACTGTGAGTGTATCACCAAGTTCTAGAGGAATTCAAGTATAAAGGTATTTTGAGTTTTGTTTTATCAAGAGCACTTTTTCCTTTACTTCCCTTAAAATGATCCACTCCTCTGATGGTATTCCTGCTATTAAAGACACAGTGGTTAGTTTAAAGGTGTTCCAGACCCCATGAATATTTCCAGTAATTGAGAAATTATCTGTTTCATGACGTTAAAATACTAGTGTAATGTCAAAACCAATTGAGAACCGTATTATAAACCTATGAAATCTTTGGTTGAAGTGATTAAATTGTGTTGGAATAGGGTTGGAATTTGATAATTAATGTAATATTGAGGGGTTATTTTTAATATATTTAATTTCATGGGTTTTTCATTACATCATGAGTAAGAGTGTGGGGGGGTCACCACAAACATGATGAAGTTGCAATGCATCTTCTCACTATACTATATATACAGTTTTTATAAAGCAAATATACTTATTTTGTATAGAGAAAGTATATTAATTTAACAGTCTGGCTGTACTATAAATACCAGCATGTGAAACAGTTGTTCTGTACCAGGAGTTATGTTGATCTTTTTAATGCCACTTACTTCAGTTTTTTCAAATGTGTTTATATAACTTTTAAGTAGGACTTACTCTTATATACAAACTGAATTTTATGTATACTTTGCCTTCTGTACTCCAAATATGGTATATGTTTTGTTCAGAATTGCTCTAACTATTTAATATGGAGGATGACCAAAGATCTTATTATGGGGAGAAGAAGAACTTTGCCCTTTGCAAGAATCAATGGACTTTTTATTCCATATACTGAAAAACTAGAATGTTCTCTGTACTCATCTTTCCACATATCATCTTGGTTTAACTGATCTGTTACCTCTCCATCTTTTTAATTCTCTCTTTCCAAATATACTTTTTTAAATTGCAGACTTTCTAGAAACAGATAACTTTCCACTTACTTGAATAAGAAAATAATGGATTTCACTCAGTTATCACTAAAAATGTAGGTGGGCCATACATGCTGGTTATGCACTTAATGTTAACTAGAGTTTGAATATATAAAATATACAAGAATTCCATGACTTGGTGCTGCGCTGTAGAGACTTATTCCATTTCCTTTGTTTCACAGGTGATATGTACATACCTGAGGATATTACTGGGCAAGTTGCTGTGGATGTAAAAAAACCTTGGGAATATATTGATACCTGGGAAAAGCCTATTTCTGGTAAAGTTAATAAAAGTAGAAAATATAGGAGACTGTAAGTGTTACGAAAAATAAAAACACTGCCTTTCTACACAAAAAGCACCTCCACTAAGAAGAGAAAATAATTCTTAACCACCCTTATCAATACACCTTCTCATGGCTTCAGGATGTTACTAGAAGTGATAAAAATAAGAATATCTTGTGGTCACTATTTATTCTCTAACGTATGCTATAAGCTAAAAATTATCTTCATGATCATATCCTTATGATCAAACAGCCACAATACTGTAAATACTGATTTTTTTCATACTAATAGTTTCCACATAGCAAAGGAGAATAAAGTAAATGCATAACCAAATTGTACTCCTATTTATGAGAAACTTTTGTTGACTATTAGTATTGTTAGGAAAATTAGAACTTTATGAGGTTTGCATTGGCCCACTACTCCAGCCTGTCAGGGTCCCTCTGGATGGCAACCCTTCCCTCCAGTGTGTAAACTGCACCACCAGCTTTGTGTCAACCACAGAATGGCTGAGGGTGCACTCAATGCCATTGTCTATGTCAACAGTAAAGTCTCTCCCAAGAGGCTGCACAACCTTCTCTTTCATCAAGGGTGACTGAGTCAAGGAAATAGATTCCCTGACCCTAAAGAAGCCCCGAGATTAATTAAATCCTAACAGTTCACCATGCTTTTGTCCTTGCAAGAATCTACACTATCAGAAAATCCCTAAATTCTATTGTGTGCCCTAGTTTACAAGCTCATTCTCCATATATTGGTGATTAGATTTGATAGCATCATAGACCATCACCCAAGTCATTGTGGGAAGTAATAGCAGTAGGGATTATTGTTTTTCCAGAGTGCAATATAGTAGATTCAACTGTGACACATACACCAAATGTGTTGTTTTGGCTTGCATGTGACTGTTGTGGTTGTATTGTTCAGAAAATATGATAGAAACCACTTGGCAAGCCAATACTTGCACATTTTTACCCCATAAATATCACAGACAATCCCATTCCCTAAATTCGGGCTGGAGAAAAAGTAATGATGAATACTATCGTGTACTAGTATCTAGGGTATGATGACTTATATATGTAAAAATTTATCCTTTTCAGTTCTTTAGGCATATCTTTTTCATATCCATTTGGGGATTAAGAATGAATGTGAAACCTAAAAATGCTATTTTCAAAACCGTTACATATTCCTGAATTAGACAAAGCACTATTTCCTGTCTTGATCTGAGGGATTACAAAAAAAAAAAAGTGTTCTATAAGTGACTGCAACAGTCCAAAAGGAAAAGGGGACATAGAAAGATGGAAATATTCCTGTTTGCACATTGTAATATTTCTGAAAATGCCCTCCTAAATGAGTCTTTGGATCTGCTCCCTTCTTGCCCACAGTCACTCTATTTATAGGGTAAACTAAGGTCTGATACATAGGGCCTGAGGTACTCTGTGTAGCCAGTAATTCAGTATCAGGCAACTTGTGTATTTGTTGACATTAGCAGCATTATAAGAATTTTATTACTCTTGAGGGTTTTCCCCTCTTAGGTACAAGTCTTTTGTTACATAAATGTGTTGCATGTATCTCCTGTTTTTTCTTAAGGAAAGAAGGGCAAAGGTGAACAGTGGAAGAAAAATCTTTTCCTTTGCCTTTCCTTTGCATAATAAAATCCCTCATAATTGGCTGGAAAATACAGTAAAATGATTTGTAATTGTGAACTAAAGGCTCTCTTTTTAGACCTCACTGTCAAAGGACCTTCCCAGATAAAATTAATAGATACTGGCTAGAACTGCACATTGAAATGACCAAGTTGGGTGCTTCAGAAATTTCTACTACGTAACTGTCTTTAGACATGTCTGTGCATGAAGTGACAGTGACTTTTTTCATTTTTCATTTGAACAGCATAGGATAGAGTTTTCCTAATGATAATTTCCCTTTCGTTACATCTTTTGCTTCAAGCTGAGGGTGACTAGTTCTATCAATTAGGAAGTACAAGAGATCAGAAATTTTGTGAGTAGGATACTGAAGATGTTTCCTAGTACGCTGAGGTGGTGTTTATTGTGTGAAGACATATCCTTTTGGATGCCAAAAAATTACTCTTGACAGAAATGAGTAACTACACAGAAAGTGAATCACTGAAAAACTTGTAAAAAATCCCAGAGGAGCTACATATTTTCAGAGTAAGCTTGGTTTAAAACTTCATGGCACACACTTCTCAAAGAATTTAAGACTGAAAATAGAATTCGCTTCAGCTTCTAACCTCACCTCTCCACTTTTGATACTAAATAAGAAATGAAACGTTGTTTGAAAAGTCAGAATATAACTTGTAATGGGTTTCTGATTTTATGGAATTTGAGGTTAAATAATTAACAACACTGTCTTGTAATGTCATTCAGTAACTACACCACCTGGCCCTCAGCGCCCTCCTATACTTCCTGCCAAGCCTACACAAATGAGAAGAAAACCTCTGCCTCCAAACACCGTGACTGGTAAACCCGGGATTCCAGGTATCTCAGCCTTTTCAACATAAATATTTTATTGTGTGTGAGATAATACTGACTATCAAGGTACAAGAGAATTTTATAGTATAGATTTCTTTAATCTGTGAGATCTATAGAAACTAGTATTTTGGAATACATAGGCCTTTTGTCTTCTGACATTAACTCTATTTTGAGGGTTTTTTTCCTAACCTGCTTATGTCAAAATCATCCCTAATAAGGGAGCTGAAAGCCAAATATCACACTCCAAGTTATCCCTTAAGAAGATCAACCTTATGAGAATTTCATGTCTACTAATAGCATTTCTGGCTACTTAATGTGCATGTTGGATGGGAGATATTGAATATTATACTTCAGTGTATACACCCAACTGGTTATTTGTTAGGAAATTCTGTCAAATATATATGGCATATCCATTAACCACTGCAAATAATGAGCTAATAGCCACCCAGAGAACTAACTGTACTGGGAGGTAGAGTGAGCCGAGTTATTTCATGTGCGCAGAGTTTAGCTTGATTATTGTGCTAAAGTATTCCAGCTTCTCAGTACCCGTTTAAGAGCACACAGAAACTTTCGTGTTTCCTGTTGTATTTTAATTTTATCCTGAAACTGATATTCAGTATCCACATATATGTTTTTCTGTGGATTCTATATAAGAATCCTTAGGCTAACTTTTTTCCAGGTAGTCAGAAACTGTCATCTCCTTATGCTTAGCCTCATGACATGTGCTTTTCTCTTCATATTGGTCTCTGTCGTTCCCTGGAAATACAAAGGTCTTGACAGTACTGTATTTACTGTTGTCTTTGGTTTGTTTCATTTGGGACTTTGTGTGCTATTAAGGCACTAAAGACCTGAATAATTCTTTAGTATTTTGTGCAGCAGATGAGTGACAAGAACCTCCAAGCTAACAGCAGAGCTAAGATTGAAATGTTGTGTCTATACTTGATGTTGATCCAATGGTGTTTCCTTAGTAATAGCTACAACAAAACATAAGACATTGTCAGTCTTGAGCTGCAGCATAAAATATGTTGATACATTTTCTTTTGCTTGTAACAGGGGTCTATACTAATTTTCTCCACTAAGTGTCTAATTAATTTACCAGTGATATAAAATTTCACCCTTTTTCCATACACTAGAGGCCAGGCTATGTGGCAGTCAGCAGTTACCATACCTTCCTCGGCTTTCAAGATGGAATAAATTGGTTAGATGAACTGGTTCTTCCTTGTGGGGCCAGTAGCAGATTTTCCTTCTTCTGTGTTTCCTAGTGTTTTATCCAGCTTAGTTTTAAACATTATAATTCAGTTTCTTCTGCTTCCCTGGAGAGACAGTTCCACTGTAGTAACAGGAAAAATTTGCCTCAATGTTCTTCATGGATTTTCCCTGTCAGAATTCTGTCCTCTTTCTCATTAATACTGTGATTACTTCCTTACTTGCATCTTTCTAACTCATCCAGTGGATGAATATTATGGAAAGGTTTCTGTGCAAACCTTAAAAGTCTCCTGAATGGAAAAAAAAGGAAACAAGACAGTTTCAAAACCTTTGTGAAACTGGACTCCAATGACAATCTTTCAAAGTCAACTTTATTAAGGAAATTAGTGGAAAGTAGAGATTTTTGTTATTTTAAACTTCGTTCACCAGAGTTTAAAGAAGAGTTCTGCCTTCAGTCACCATGGTCTTCTGTGTCGTATATGCACATTATATAGTTCCTAACTTTTTTGGGGTTGAGCTTTCCACTCATGTCACGGTTTTCTGGGAGTATCTTCATGTTTTGTGAATTTAGCTCTTATCTTTTACAGCTATTTTGAAAGATCCTTTACTATGGATTGTTTGCCTCTTAGAAACTTATTTTCTTTATCAGGTGGTAACAGCTGAGGAGTAAAAGTAATGTCACATAATCCAGAAAATTTTCTAAAAGAACCATTTAGTTATGGGAGATAATATTGCTTCTATCAGTTAGTTTCTGCCTAAACTTATGACACCTAGTACAGAAATGAGTACAGAAAGAAAACTTTTTCCCTTAGGTCATAAATGTGTGTTATAAATGTCAAAAATGTTGGACTTGGTTGCGTTTTCCTTTCTTTCATTTGAAATGCATCTTAATTTCATTTAATGGAAGCTCCAGGACTGTTTGGTGATTAAACTCTTAATGCAGACCACAGTTAAGGACTTGTTGTTTATTGTTATACATGTTCCAGCTCCAGCCTTGCTAATTTATGTACTGTATTAAGAGTAGAAAGGAAAGGATCTTACCCGTATTTGAGGGAAGAATCCAAGTTTCAGTTGCTGACTTCAGCTGTTGTGTCTTACAAGACATGAAGAAATGTGCTCTTTTACTTAAGAAAGAGAAATGTCAACAGTGGTCACTTTGCATCCTTTTCCAGTCATTGTAGGATAGTTCTGTGCATTAAACCAGCCCCCTGGTGGCCTAGTGGTTAGCATGCAGGACTCTCACCGCTGCGACCCAGGTTCAATTCCCCAGTCCCCCGGGCAGATGGAGCTTGTTAGCCCTGTGAGGCCATCTATCTATGAGAAGGTCACTCTAAACAAACCTACGTCCTGAGGACCTCACTGCCATTGTCCAAGCTTGCTTGGCCCCGGCAGATGAACCTTAGGATTAAAGGGTGGGCTCAGTTCAGCGCATGCTGTGTCTCACCTAAAAAATCCATTGCGCAGGCTGGAAAGGTAAAAGACCTTTCCCAAAAATCTTCGCTCGCAAAGACTGACCATTATTATTCTAGCTGACTGAAGTCCTCTAAAACAATCTCAAAGTAGCAAAGAATTTTCTTACTGGGTTTCAGGATTAGGTTATATCTGCAATAAGCACAATTCAGAACTTTCCTAAATCCAGCTGAAAGCTGTTGTATAAATTTTGAGGGATTACCATGGTTTCAATGAAAGTGCACAAAGCACTTGTCACAAATCTGAGTTCCCTTAGAAAATCATAAAGCTGTTTCTCTCTTTTAAATGTTGAACGCCTTGTTGCAACAAGTCTCTCCATCTGTCACTATAGCTAAGCCTGCTGGACCAACACTGCCTGTGAGGACAGGAACGTCATATAGGACACCAACAGCTTTTGCAACTCCAGAGTATTATGGTAAGCATATTACAAACAGTTCTGGTTTCTTTTTTTCTTTTTTTTTTTTTTTAATTAACATTAAGGCTTCCATTTTCTTTTGCTTCCCTTCCCTAAATTATATTGATGCATTAGGTATTTAATATAAGAAGCATTTATTTTGGGATGATTCTGATTTCTTTTATGCCACTTAGCAACTTTTTTAATTTGACTGAACTAATTTAGCTGTCTTCTGATACCTATCTTGATAACTGAGAATATGACAGCCCTTCCATTTCCTATAAATCCATACGTGCTTAGTAGGTTTTTCAATACTCTTCAGTGGCAATTTAGGTCTGTGCAGGGAGTAGATAAGAAACCTTCTTTTCCTGAAAATTTCTTTTTGCACAGGACATAAATTCAAACTATTATTTGACAGTGACTGATTTGTGCTCATCATGGATGTGATATTCTCCTAGGTATCTGATTAAGCTGCCACCATTTAAATGGGAAAAAAGGTAATAGAGCAAACATAGTGGTTAATTGGTAATTTTCCCTTTATAAAATTGGGAGTTGATTACAAGTCCAAACCTAAACCTCTTCGAAGTGGCATCCAGTAATGGATTTGGAGGAGGATGTGCTTAGAGGTTTTAAGCCCAGATATGCAGCTCTAAGTGTATTGTCATAAATTATGCTGTTTCTAATTTTCCTGGATGTATTGTAATACTGAAACTCTTGTCTCCTTAAAATGATCATGAACTCACTGTGACCCATGGTGCTCAGTAAAGCAAGTTGGATGCTAGACTGATTTATTTATAAATGCTCATTGTGAATGTATCGTGCTTTGTTTGTTGAGGTCCATTGTAGTATTTGCATCTAAAAGAAGATTCTGTTCAGTGTAATGGCTAATTAATACAACACTGGTGTCATGAATCCTGACTGCTTTAGCACATTTTTATTCACCAGTGCATTTGCCTTCAATTTCCTTCAAATTTTGTGGAAGTTGTACACTCTGAAGACAGAATTTGTGATTCCCTTCTTATTATTTTTAGAGAAGTTAATGAGCCAATGTAACGGTGCTATACGTTCTAGGAACATGAAACAAGCTCCAAGCCTAACAGCAAGTACAGTGCAAAAAAATACTTTTAAAAGGTCTAAAAAACATTTTACATATGCTGCATGAACTGAATCCAGCTGCAGTCGCGAAGTCTGTCATTTTGATTATGGCTATGTTTATAGTAGCAGGTAAGTACGAGGTTTACTTAGCACCACAGCTAAAATGGAGTCACTAAAATGAAACAACAGATCTGGCAGCAAAGGTCTGCCATGGAAGACCTTTATTGTGATTTAAAATGCCAAAGGAATTGTGAAATGCTGCAGTTCTAACACCGAAACTTTGAATTAATTGCAAATTATATTATAACTGTGTTTCCCACAGTTGATGAAACTGTCTTCAGCTCAAGTCCTACATCAGAAACAGATTCTTCAGGCAAACCAAGGTACCAAGGTAGGATACTAATAGCTATGGTATTTTTATTTGGGGGAATATATCTTGCATCAAAATTATTTTGTTTGGTTATTCAAAGACCAAAATTTTATTTGATTCTGTGTCGCTTCAGCGGCAGATGAAAGAGCTTCAGCACAAACCATCAGCATTTTCTTGATTAAATTTTACTTCTACTTTCTTCCCTGCTACCACCTCCTAGTTTACAGTTTTGTTCACAAACATGCTGTGGCTCTTCATGTGGGCTTGCACATGTGCTTGGAGAGGTATTGTCCCAATACCAGTGCACCTTGCCATACGGGATATCTATCCATCATATATCCCTCACCTCTTTTCCAGCCTGTAGTCAAGTTATCGCTGTTGCAGTAATCTAGAGAGTTTAGCAAGTTGAGATAAAAGGAAGAAGTGCTTTTGTATGAAAATATTTTTCAGGGTTTTTTTCTTGTTCTGGTAAGAGACACTACATTTCTGAAGACACTCTCTTTCTTGAGAGAACTTATTGTTTACTTCCAATGAAAGTTTTAATATTGGAACTAAAGTGTTTGTCTTCAGTAATCTTTCTAATTTTGATGCAGAGTACAAGACATTTGCGTCAGAAAGTTTGTTCCAAGATTTGGTGCTGTACCACTGAAAATGGTTAAGATTTTGACAGTCGCTCTAGAAACTGCAAGTTTCATTAAGCGAGTTCAATGACTTTGGACTAAACTTGTTAATCCTTCTGGTGAAACAAAGTGTATGGGACATCTTTGTATTAACATACCTCACAAAAGCTGCAGGTGGAATTGTAGTGTCATTTTACTATAGAAGAAATATAGTTAATTGTCCTATTTTGTGATTTTAATTCTTTCAAGCAGTGTCTATCACCTGCTAATACCATCAGTGATGTTTCCTCAGTGGTGCCAATGAAAGGGGGCTGAAGGCAGTGATTGCAGGTCTAACAGCAATAAATAAAATTTTTTTTAAAGCAGCTTGAAATTGAATATATGGGTTTTATTCTGAAACATTTGTGTTTGACTTGTGCAGACTTTTACTTGGTGCCCTGAGATGGATGTTGTGAACTAGGTGAAATGGCATTGACATTTTGCAAAAACACTCTGTTGAATAACAGCTCTTTCCTATTGCTCTTAGCTCCCCATGTGAAGTACATGAAGAAAGACGATGATGTGCCTTGCTCTATCACAAGCTCTCTTGAACATTTTCCTCAAGAAGAAGGTGGAAGCAAGGAAGAACCCACTCGTCCTCCACAAAATCCTCCAACCAATCTCACAGTGGTGACTGTTGAGGGCTGTCCAACCTTTGTCATATTGGACTGGGAAAAACCAGACAATGACACTGTTACAGGTTGGTTTGATTTCTTTCCTTCGTTGTATGATAGTATAGTATTTCCAGTTTAATTTACTTTTTTGGCATTTAAAAGATACTTTAATCCCAGCAGATTGAAGGACCTCGGTGCTTTTATTTTGTGCTACTGTGAACTCTAGTGTGGATAAGAAAATGCTACTAGATTAGAACAAGATCATTGGTGTCAGTGTCAGTGATGACACAAAAAGATATTTAAGTATGACTCTATATCTTCTAATTTCTGGCTTCTCCCTGTATAGGGTCTGGTAAGATCTTGTCAAGAAGGTCCAACAATGCAGCAGCAGTCTATTATATAGATGCACACACATAATGCAGACATCTTTCTTGACTGGTACATGTCATTTAACAGTGGGCCAGACACAATCAGACCTTACATCCATCTAGTAAGTCAGTAGAAATTTGTCAGCATAATACTTGCAGTACCCACCATAGGGTCAACAAGTTCTCTATGCTGAAAGAATCTGGTTATTTTTAATTTCTAAGGCAAGGGTTTTGTATTGAGAATTAATGCATGTGAGTCATGCAGGAATCACTACATAGGCAGGTAAACATGCAAGATGGGCTTCCTAATTTTTCCGCTGTCTTCTGTATTCAATACTAGCTTACAAAAATTAAACATTGAAGTTAGTTAATAACTCAGTTAATGAACTCATCCAAGGACACTTTCTGAATTTAAAAGAAGTCATTGAGTCCCATTTTCTGAAAACAGTGATTGCTTCATATTGGCACCAGCGTGACATTACTTGTTTAGACAGACTTAAATCAATTTTTCTGTCATCTCTTCTTATTTTTGTATTTTATACATGTTTTTCCAATCATCTAATTTAGGCATCACATCATTATTTTTTTTTTTTTAAGAAATACGCTGTTTCAGATAGAACTGTGAAAACAGAAAACATAATTTGTTGTGCCTTTTTTTTTAAATGGTTACTTTGCTTAACCTTAGGTGTGTACAAGGGGTTTCATTGGGTATGCCTAAAAACAAAACTGTGCTTCAGTAACAGAAAGGTCTGACAAATAATAACCAAAACAGTGATCAATCTCACCTCCTTGTTTTTGTAAAGGCTGCAAATGTCAGGAACCAAAACCATTTTGCTCATTCTCTGTTACTCCTGTTGTGTTGCCACAGAAATGTAGGGCAGTTTGTTGCCTTGTGCACTGAGTAACAAGCAGGTACTGGATGTGCTCAGCAGTTCTTTTTATGGATGAGCTCATACATATTTTTACTGCATTTTTTTTTCCAACTTGAATGAGTTAAAAAAGTCCAAATCACACACTGACTTGGGGTTGGCAGAAGTCACTTATTCATTCACTATCTGGATGTACCTAAGGCAGTGGATATCCACCATCTCTCCCGTGCTTCCTAATAAATATAATTTCTCTAGTGAGGTTTAATCAGGACAAATAAATGCTTTTGCATGTTTTTTTTTCTCCATGGTTCACTCAGCCCTTGGTGGCTAGACAGGAAAATACAGAAATAAATTTATGTAAAATTATTTCATTCTAAACTAGTAGATTCCCTAAGTGCACAAATCCAAGTTAGTTGGGCAGTTTCCTTTGTAAATCTTAAAAAGATAGGTCTTATTTTAAGTTAATCAAGGTTTAAGAATTTAGAAACTGCACTTTCAACTTTGATACAGTTTCATTCAAACTACAGAATGCTTATACCTGTGTTTCAAATTTCGTCATGAGTGTACCATTGGGCAGAGATGAGATGTTGAGTATCCTCTATCCCATAACTGAATGATGAGAAAAGATGAGAGGCTGGGCACACAACAATCTGGAATAGATCTATCTTTCCTAATCATTTTAGCATATTAATGTCCAGACAGGTACACACAAGTTGTCCTTACAGACTATTAGGCAGCAAGAGTGGAAATCAGATGATAAAAGAGAGAGCAGTGAAGAAGCTCAACTAAGAGACGTTACTTAAACAGATTTTTCTTTACTGTAATTTTCCAGAGTATGAGGTTGTGTCAACTGAAAATGGAGGAAGTGATGGTGAAAAGGAGAAATCAATTATCACTACAAATCAAACCCATTCTACTGTGGAAAACCTAAAACCTGACACAAGGTAATTAAAGAATGTAATTTTCTAAGTCAATGCAACTAATTTAGACTGTCAGCTGTCTGGCACTTCAAATGAAAATATGTATGTATATAAGATCCGATCGGTTTTACTGCTGTTCTGATAGAAAAAAATGTATGGTTTGGTTTTGCTTTCTTTTAAGTTAACAGATAAGACAGATAAGAGGAATCTTTAGGAAATTTCTGAGAGTATTTGTGGTCTGGACAAACTGTTGAAGTGACCTGTTGTAGCAGAAAGACTAACAGTCAAGTGTAACGAAATTACCATGGAGGGAAAAATACGTGTGTCCTCTATGTATTGTTTTCTTATAGTGTTTCAAAGCAGCTGGCAAATTTATAATGGGTCAGTGAATTCCAGCTGATTGCGTGCCTCTCAAGCAACTAGTCAAATTAAGTATTATCGTTCTTCAAATACCATATCTCATTAAAAAACAATCTTCTTTTTGTGGTAAAATTCAAAGCAGGGAAGAAAACCACTTGTCTTTTGTTGCATTCCTTATTGATTGCGTCAGAAAGTTAATGAATGACATGTTGGGGTTTTTCCTGTAAGACTATTCATTTGGCTTTGGTAACTGGATGTTTCTGTTTCAAATAAACTGCTTTTTTCTATTATTATCCATAAATTGGTAACACAGCACAAAATTCTGCGTAGAACCCATGTTGAACCTTTATTTTTAGGCAATGTGTGGTGTAATCTGGTGCGTTGGTTCCTGTCTCATGTACTTGTGACCAGCAGCTCCTAGGAGAAGGAATGAGGAACTAAATCAGAAAGTAGAGGGCAACAGAAGAGAATTGGAAAAATAAAAGGTTAAGGGAAATTGTGACACCCCGAAAGAGTTTCTTTGACAGAGTCCAAAAGATGGGCTCATAAGATGGGCTAGAATTGCTGTGTTTTGCTTCAGGAATATCTCTGTTATTTCTTAAAGGCATGTGGCTTGTGGAAAGAGTGAACTGCAGTGATGTTGTTCTGTCTTGTTAAGAGGCAATTAGGATATGTTACCAATATATATGCCTTGGGCACCCAGCATTTGTTTTCTCGAGCAAAACAATGTATTTCTGGAGTAGTGACTAAGAAAGGCAGTAGGTGCTTCCTGTGTTGCTTGTGTTTTCATTTGAGTTCTGCTTTAAAATAATACAGTTGTATCTTTGAAAAGAGCTCTGTGTTGTTAAGCAGATTCTCTTTCATTACACACTCAAACTCTTTGTGTCACATATGGTGGCAGAGGTGTGATGGGTTTGTTTAAGTGTAGAAGAGACATGGAAGCAAAGAAAAGCCCTTGATGCTGAGAGCAATGTCCAGGTGGCCGTAAGAGAAAAGTTTTTTAGACTGCTCTTTGTTCAGAAAGGAAACAAGATGGAGGCAGGCAGATCCACTGGAAAGGTCACAAGGAAGGCAGGAGCTATGCAGAGGCAGATAAGATGGTTTTAATTATTTACAATTCTGTCAATCCTGAGAGAAGTCTTTCAGGTAAGCAAGAGGCCAAAGACCACAGAGTTACAGCTGTCTTTTGAAGTGTGGATTTTGTTACAAGGAGCTAGATAGGAAATCAGTAATGACTGATGGAGGTTGACTTAAGATATAAAGGGATAACTTTTCCTGAAGAAGGAGTGGCTATTATTCCCCAACCCCAACCTCAAAAGGGACAGACAGTGAAAGTCTTTCTGGATTCAGGAGGCCATTGCCTAGAATTGAAAACCTTTGATCTAAATCGCAGTGACGCATGTCCCTCAAGTCTCACTGGATTTAAGGATATAAAGTCCTCAGAGTGGCTCTGTTCAATTAAACTCCCATTCCAAGCAAAATGTATATTTCCTAATTCTGAGGACACCTTGAGAGCCTTGGCAGAAGCACAAAGAGTTACTGTTACCATTTGAATTCAGGCTCACTGGCACACTAAATTCAGGGAAAATAAGAAAGTGCTTAAGACAGCTGGCATCCCATAGATAGCATCAGTTCTGCAAGGAACGTCGTACGTCTCCTGTCTATCAGGATAGGATTGCTCACTACATGAAGAAAATGGATCTGTGGACAAAACTGAAAAGAGGAGGAAGAAAGACAATTAAACACAGCTCAATAAATTAATTATCAGAGTCCCTGAAATGTCTACAAATTCATTAAGTAATACATTAAGACTGAGAAGTAGACTTTTCCATAACTAGCCTTAAAGGAAAGAGCTGTATGAGAAGTGGAACTGGAAAAGAAACTTGGAAGAGAAATAGAAATCCCTCTTGCAAGTGATCAAAACCTAGAAAACCAGCAGCAAGGATATGGAAAGAGAGATACTCAGTAGAAAACCATGGATTAACTGGGGAGAACCTCTTGGCCTTAAAACACTTTGGAGAAACTGACAAGCTGAATTTGAGAGCTGTTTTTTCCAGCTTTTCTGAAGCCATAAGTGAGGCTGTGTAAATCCTCTACACTGCTCTGAAGGTCCGGTGTTTTCAGAGCTGAAAATATTTCAGGATAGATCTAAACCAGACAGACCTAAATGAAGAGTTCCTAAAAAGGAATAAAAATGTTTGTGAATGTGGTATCTCAGTCTTTGCGGGTAGATTTAAGCCAGAAAGACCCTATAGCAGCAAGTCAGTTCAAGCCTGTCATTCTGCAGATGTACGTTCTTGAACAGCTGTACATGACAAAAGTCTGCAGTCACAATGGCCAAGGTGTATCATCCTGTTCAGGTAAATCAGATAGGATATGTTAGTGTCTGGACCAGAAACTAAAGAGTTAATTTTCCACATCCAGCAGGAGGGAAGCAAGACAGCTTTTCAGTGTGAAGGAGGCAGAACAAGCAGCAGGGAAAAAATGGAGCATCTGAGCCTGCCAGGTCATGCTGTTTGTTTGCTTTTCTCTTCTGCATTCTTCATTCAAATAAGTCATTCTGCTACACCTCTGGGAAGCTCTGCAGTAAGACAGACACCCTTCTTCGTTGGAGCTGGCCTTTTGACAAGGCAGCTTTTAAAGATTAGGAGCTAACGGCCAGACTTTGAATATTTCAGGAATTTGGACAGTGTTAGGGAGGCAACAGAGAGAGACTCTTACAGTCTCTCATCAAAATTGCATGTGTGACTGCAGCTGTCAGTAAGTCCAAACATAGAAGTTAAATGGGATGAGGATTACCATGTAGTATTCTGTGTGTTCATTTAGCTGTCTGAAAAGTGACTAGGTCCAGAAAAAATGCACTGGCTGAAAAAGGAGTTCTGACTTTGTTATCAAGTATTTAGTTTTTACAGACTCATACAATGGTAATATGGAAACGAAAATGGACTTTTACAGACATACAATGACTTGTGAAGGTTACTTTTAAACAAGTAAAGTTGTATATATTATGGTAGTTTGTCATCTTTCTGTCTTATACATGCCAGCTTTATGTGTTCTCAGTGACTGGACTGCAAGACATTGATACTCTGAGATGAAAGTGAAATAGTGATCCAAAAAGCTTTCTAACTGTGAGGACATACACCTTTAAATAAATGTGGGGTACAGTCAGCTGCTTTCCAATGCAACGGACTGATTTCTTCAAAAAGAAAGGTTTTAAAAGCTCCTGTACAATGTGATTTTGTTGGAGCACTGAGATCCATATTTTTTTTGCCCAAGGAAAGGCGTATCATATCCATGCCGTTTTCCCACAGTAAGGCACGTCTGACAGTTGACAACACCATATTAATTTAGAGGATTTTTCCTTATAGGATGAATATGTTGTTCTCTTTTTCAGCTACAAAATTGCAAAATATGGTGATTATAAGATTTCACTATGACACCTTAGAAGACTTCTGATAGTTTAAGTAAATTCAAATCTTGAAATCCATTATTTGGTTGGTCAGAGCTCTTGAAACTGGTACTCTTCCTAAGCTGCTGTCTGGGTTCAGTCTAGAATTCTGTTCAATTTCAGCAGATAATTTTGATTTTGATTGTAACCTTTACCTGAAATCTCTCAAAGTGTGTAGTGTGGTTATGCTATAAGAGCTAGAATACTATCTGTATAAGAAGGATGTATGTATAGTTAATTGGATATAGCTGGTGCCTGAAGAAAACTTTCTTGTTTTATAAATGTCTTCTGCTTAAACATTTGTATTATAGATCTGCTTCTGTGATCTATTTATCACATATACACGCCTGTTGATTCTGACTTAGTACTGTAATTAGCTATTGCTACTCTTTACATTATTTCCAAGATTTTTTGAGTAGATCCAGGTCACATTTCACTCAGCCTCCTTTTCAGTATCACACTCAAACAAACCAAATTTTCTGAGGTTTTTAACATCTTTATTCTTCAATTAGTGAAATGAGCGAAACAGCCAAATTCCATTTATTCTTCTTTGTCCTAGTTAGTTTGAACCAATTACTAAGCTACTGAGTTTTTACTCTGTTGATCAAGCAGTGACTGTAACTACTGTACTTGCTGATCCACCCTGAGCTTAATGTAGCTTTTAATTCAGCCCTGTCATGAAAAGGGCTTGGACCATATCAACTTCATAGATGTCTTCCAACATAAATTATTGTAAGATTGTATCTTAGGGATAGTTTCTGATCTTGTAAATCTCAGTTTCCTCCAGTTTCTTTAGTGCAGGCTGAGGTGGCTTAGTGTGTTAATGTAAAGTCATTCCTTTCTTAGCAAAGAAAAATGAGATAAATGAACACACTAGTATGAACTGATAATATTTCATCTTCCACATGGAAATTCTGCAATTTTTATACTGAGGATACTCTCACAGGTTTGGTGGGGGTTTTTTTTGAGAAATGTACCATTTATTCCACTTAGAAAACTATCAAAGACAAACTACAATACTGATTGTTCGGTCAAAGTAATTACAGTCCAGCTCCCAAGCAGTCACTTGAAGAGTGAGACCTGTAATATTCTATCTGACTTGTCATACAGTTGTCTTGTTTTTGAGTTTCCTTACAAGGCTGCTCACACTGGAACTCCTAGTTTCATTGGCACACCTAGGACTTGGTGCTCTTTCTTTGTTTTACATTAAAACTGC